TACAAATGAGTTTTAAGACTAGATTTAAAAACAGAAAGGGTTTTGGCCTGCATAACGCCCCATTCACACGAGGGTTCTTGACTGAAGGTGTTTTTGCAGTTGGGGCTGACGCAATCGTCATAGCAGCGTCAGCCAATGAAATTCAGTCAGCAATAGCCCACGGTCTAGCTGGTGTATTTGCATACAGCGATCTGATTGGCTGAATCTTCCGTCTGCGCTTGAAAAGTTGAGCTAGTCCCAACTTCTGCAGAGAGCAACGCCTCTGAAGTGGCGCCGACAGATCCACAATGCAGTTCGGCAATGCCTGACGTCACCCATTCAAAGTGAATGGGAAGCGTTGACGTTGTAACATGGAGGGGGAAATTACTTAAAAAATTTGGGACAACACAAAACTGCAAAAGCACAGACCCCCTTGGTTTTAAACCGTGTGCATGGAACAGCCAACAGTCACTGATCAGCACATCTTGATGGAGTGTACAAACTCGTTCTCTTGAAATAAATGCCATTTTGTTCGATATTTAATCTAATGCAATGATTCAGACTTTAAAAGTAGTTGAGGTACTTTTACAGACTTCTATATTCTCATCAAAAGCACAAAAAAAGCTTTATATAATGAGCAAACTTATATCAGTAAAGGAGTGTGAATCCTTATAAATAAGCCTGGCTTCTAAAGGTGATTTTCTCTCACAGTTATGAATAATCCACACCAGGGCTTTGTGTGAGTGCGTGTGTGTGTGTGTGTGTGTGTGTGCGCGTAGTGATGCATGTTTGAGGGGAGTTTGAGGTTGTAAGGAAATAAATTATTCTCATGACTTGCTGCAAGTACTGATTCCCACCTTCCTCCCACATGACAGTGCCAGGAACGCCAGGATTCCTTCTCCTCCATAGGTTTTCCAGAGCCCAGCTGTCAGCGGGGAATCTCAATAACAAGCACAGCAGATGCTGCGCAGACAGAAGCAGCAGGGCGAGTGATTCACTGCTTCTGGGGTTAATATAAGATGTGTAGGTTCGGTCTTCAAAGACGAAAAGCTGAAAAAAAAGAGATCACAGGGGTCAAGGTTAGAAAGACTGCAAAAATATGAGAGGGAAATGTAAAGGGAGGAAAGAAAGTTATTAATAATGAAAGAATCCAAGGCAAACAGAGCAAAGGCATTTTATGATCAATAAAGCAGATATTGACATTGCACAGAGGACTTGTTTATAAAAGTGAACGAATAAAAAAATAATAGCTGAGGGGTTTAAAGGGGCACTTTGTTGTATCTGTATGCTTTATTACATTAAATACTGTATATAATTTCCAAATCTGATTTTGTTACATGACAAAATTTTTGTCGTAGATCCCAGTTGTAAGAGCAACAAATAATAACTTGACCTCTATTTGATCATTTGAAAAAGTGGCATTTTTTCTGATGAATCATCTGTTGAACTGCATCCCAATCATCACAATTACTGCAGAAGACTTATTGGAACCCGCATGGACCCAAGATTCTTACAGAATTTAGTCAAGTTTGGTAAAGGAAAAATCATGGTTTGGGGTTACATTCAGTATGGGGGCGTGCGAGAGATCTGCAGAGTGGATGGCAACATCAACAGCCTGAAGTATTAAGACATTTGTGCTGCCAATTACAATACAAACCACTGGACAGGGCAAATTCTTCTGCAGGATAGTGCTCCTTCTCATACTTCAGCCTTCACATCAAAGATCCTGAAGCAAAAAAAGGTCAAGGTGCTCCAGGATTGGCTAGCCCAGTCACCACAGATAAACATTATTGAGCATGTCTTGTGTAAGATGAAGTAGGAGGCATTGAAGATGAATCCAAAGAGTTTTGATGAACTCTGGGAGTCCTGCAAGAAAAAACCTTCACATTTCCCAGAAGCTTAGATGCATCCGGCAGGTAGCGTCAGAAAGCCGTGTGTGTTATTCCTGTCACAAAATGCAGTGAAAATCCTACAAGATGGTAAGTTTGATTGTAGTGCTAACATGTTTACACTCGGAGTAATAGTTAGTTCGATACGAACTAACTTTGCCATCTGAATAAACAAACAAAGACCATTGGTCGCTCACTTATCAAATCTGTAGAGACTGGAAAATTAACAGCAACTAGAGCCGCATCTTTATTAAGAGGAGACAAGCAGCAAATCCAGATCTCACTATTTCCAGATGAGAAAAGCTCTCGGGTAAAAAAAAAAGGTCCTTAGACACGTATTGATGTCGAGCGTCGCGTGCACTGTAATCCACACGTGAGTCCAGCTGCGCTCTCATAGAGAGAAAATAAAAACAAAACCTTCACTGCAGCACATTTTAAAAACAACACTGCACGCTTGTTTTGGCAACACAACGTGTCGTCTCTCTGCCGTCTGAACACTGTATCAGGTACAAACAGTCTTCAAAGCTATCATGCATATTAATAAAGTTGCACAGCATACACAATAGAGCGCACTGATTGGTTTAAACCAAGTCTTACTCATGCATTAATGTAATTAGTGCAATCACCTGTAATTAGTTCATGAGATCGTCCAGATTGGCGAGGACCAATCGAGTCACGAAATGTGATTATCGGTCGATACCGATCTTCGCTCGATTTATCAGAGCATCCCTAACTGCCATTGCTTTTTTTTTTTTTTATTTTACAGACTTATTTCTCTACATGTTATTTTTTATACATTTATATTACTTAAAACTACTAAAATGTCAATAAAAGTCACTTTGTTAAACTGTAGAGTTGAATTTTCAACATCAAAAGTCGACAGAGCAACATCCAGTGCAATTCACAACAAAAAATGAACAGAAAACACTTGTGTATCACAAAGTAACAGATATCTTTTACAGTGTACTGTGTGTACCGCAAACTCTAAACACAATATAAAGTTGCCACAAAACTACTCAATGTGTAATGTGTACTATAGTTTGGTTTTGATTGGCTCTGCATTTCGAGGTTATTCATATTTGTCCAATCATTTCTTAGATTAAGGCATGCGTATCCAACTGATTAGCTTTACAGTACAGTCTTTTCAGAATAATGCATAGTTTTATTATGTATTCATCTATTTTAAGGACATTTTACTCGACTCATTTCTAAAATCTGAAGTCTGATAAAGTTGGGATTTTTGTTTAAAAAATTTTTTAATTGACCATCAAGTTGTTCCAAACATTTGCTTTCTTTTTTCACAAAATAAGATATTTTGAAGAATGTTCAAATTCCACAGTAGTGGAACAAAAATACTATGGAAGTAAATAGCTACCAGGCAAAATTCCTCAAAATGTCTTCTTAAGTGTTCCACAAAAGAAACTCAAATATTGTATAAATGGTAGTTAAGTAAATGAGTAAATAAATTTATTTAAATTTTAGTGAACAACTCTTTTAAATTCTAATGCCGACTACTATTTTTCACACAAATGCTAAGTAACAGATCGTTTAAAAGCATATTCCTAAACACTTTAAGAAGACAAAAATACTCTTTGGCTATCACTGAATAAAAGAGGTGCTGTTGACTCCCATACGTTGACCTTGTGTCACTTCACTGTAAGAGTTTCCAAGGAAGCAGCTGTGCTATTCCAGACAATCTGGTCTTGTTTGTGTGTTGCACTTGTGATCTGATGTTGTAATTACATACTGTTTTCTCCAGGGGGCGACGAGTCATTTCTTTAAAAAAAAAAAATGAAATCTGAGCCATAGACCTTCAAGCCTTTTGTGAGAATCCCATGGAAAACAAGAGATCAGGATGCGATGTTCCTCAGAATGAAAACAATGGAGATAAAATTTGATAAGGCAGAAATCTCCACCTTTCTTAAACACATTCCTAATATGCAGAAGAACTATCTTACTGCCTCTGTAATTTCAGTGCATGTTGAACTGCTATTTGTTAATTAAGGAAATGTTCCAAAGGTACCATATTATTTACTACTGCATAAGTCTGGCACTACAAGCACACACACGTCTATGAACTGCTTTGCAGTTAGAACATCTGAAATGGATTTGTGCCAAAATTCATACTTGTATGCTGTGATAAAAGGTTATGTAATCACTCAGAGCATGTAAAATAAACCCAAAGTAGAGGTCAGAGGTTAAGGGGACCACGAACAGACGCTTTTCAGCTCTCAGAAATTCCTGTTTCCATTGCCATCACCCTCCAAAGGAAAAAGAGGGGAAGATGACATAATGGAGACATGTACAACAATACAAGCAGGAAACTGGAGCAATTAAGACATTGTGTTTGAGTGTACAGGAGGCAAACACCCAAGAAAATAAGGAGAAGTAGTTAGATGGAGTTCTGTTTTATGCTTTTTACAATTTTGCCATGTTCACAATTTCTTTTAAGATTTGATGCTTTCATACTGAAAGTGACAACGTGTTATTGTTCACTCTGTTTCCCTGCATAGTGAAACTCAAACGCAGAGTTTTCCAGTTGCGCTGTTGAGTTTCGCCATGCTCCTGCTACAGCTGCAGGCAGGAAAAATGACTCCACTCACAAGCCTTGAGAACTGTTTGTGTGACATTTTTTTCCAGAATAAACTTAGTACGGCTACAACTCTGCAAAGAGCTCCTACAAAATAAACACAGGCAAACACATTCTTGCACATGTCTAGCCAAATAAAAAACTTGCTTAGCAAATCTTTGTTCAAAGGGACAAACACAAACCTTTGTTCTATCTTCCTTTCTGTATCTTTAACTGCCCCAACTTTATTTCTCTGGCAGAGATGAGCTCATTCTTCAAACATGACTCTTAATATACTATTGCTCTTTTCAATATAAACAGAACAAACCCTGGACAGCCAGAAAGAGGGAGAGGGTTAGGGGGAGGTACTACATGTGGAGAGAGTTGCTCATGTTCCACCGTATACACACCCACATAGTCGCACTTGACACATGCAAACACATAACTCCCTCACCAATGGGCCGGGTTAGCTGCCATGGCAACCAAGCTCCACCCTCATAGGGTGTGGATGGGCTTTTTAAGCTGTGGGGAAGCCTCTGCGCAGCTCTTCCAATTGCACCAGAGAGGGAGGGAGAGACGGGAAAGAGTCAGAGTGTGGCTAACTTCAAAAAAGGGGTGGGAACGCTGAACCTGGAAGCTGAAAAGTTCTTCCCAAGCCTGTAAACAAGAAGTTGTTAGAACGTGAAGGAGTGAAAATCAACTGGACGAGAAACTCGACACAGCAAGACCAGATCACTTAAAAGGTGAAGAGCTAAACTGTTTTCCTAAATAAAGTTAGACAAGACCAAATAAGACAGCTTCAGAATGGGAGAAGATGCAGTGCAGGCAGAGAGGAGTAGCATGGTGAGCACGCATGAGAACCAGGAGCTGGTGGTGCCAAGCCCCAGCCCTACTCAGTCTTCACCCACCCATAGCCTCTCACAGCTGGGCACTGGTGCTACCAACGCTTCCGCCGGAGAACCCAGCAGTCCTGGACCTTTGGCTGGAGGCACCACAGGCACTCTCCCCAGAGATGGAGCTTCGCCCACAGGTCAAGTGAATGCCATCACTGTCCTGACGCTTCTAGATAAGCTGGTGAACATGCTGGATACAGTGCAAGAGAACCAGCATAAGATGGAGGTGAGACAGGTTGAGATAGAGGGGGCAGTGAGGGGCATCCAGAACGACATGACCAAGCTCTCCAAGAGTCACACTTCCACCTCCAACACGGTCAGCAAACTCCTGGAGAAGAGCCGCAAAGTCAGTGTCCACATGAAGGAGGTCAAGGACAAGATGGATAGGCAGGCCGTCCAGGTGAAGAAATTGGAAGCCAACCACGCTCACCTGATCAAGAGGAACAACTTCAAAGTGCTCATCTTCCAGGTAAACGCCCAGTGTGTGGTGTTCTGGTTTCAGTGACTTACAAGGACAGGCATGGGTGTAACCTAGATATTTCAACATTTAGGTGATTTATAAAGACATGCCTTATGTCCTTAACACATAAAAATGATACTTAATGGGGTCAAAATTTGCCACAAGTTTCCTGTAAGGGTTGGGTTTAGAGGTAGGGGAGGGGTAGGGCCTTATAATAAGATGTTTTTACAGTATAAAACATATTATGCCTATAGAGAGTCCTTGTAAACTAGCAATAACAACGTGTGTGTGGTAGTGGAGGGAGGCTGAGGGGCACTAAGCAATGGGTATTGTGATCTGCTGAGGTGAGGACTCTGAATGATTGCATTGTGTGTGTGTGTTCACTGCTGCGTGTCGATGCGCACTGAACCAAGTTTACCTGTCTCCAACTCTGTTAACAATAAGGAACATTACCGTCTTACACAGATAAGTAGAAATGCCATTAGACTTAATTATCTCAAAGAATGGATCACAAGACTCCCTAAGGGTGGGTCCATTTATGAAGCATGGTAGAAGGGTCAGAGTTCAGAGTTTAAAGACGAATGCAATGCCTATGAGGTGGCTGTGATGTCACTTAAGGTCATTTGGGGTGTGGCAGTATGGAAGCAAGAATTACATGGTTGCCTATTATCTCTAATGACTATTCCTTTGGGGGTTTTCAGGGACTGCCAAACCTAGTCCCACCAATGCCTTTATTTGTGAACATCCTGCAAGGAGAACTCCATGGAAGTCCTTGCAAATTCAGTACTCAGAAGTATTAACCTCTTGAACGCCCAGCTAGAATTTCAGCCACAGCTCTATTTCAGAGAAAAAGAAGCAACAGGAGCTCAAAACTAAGAGAGAGCTAGAGAGCTCCAGAGAGATTCAATAGGGGAGGCTTGTTTTGAAGCTTTGCCAAAAGCTATTATTTAAAGCACAATAGCCTTGAATAGAAGGTGTGTCCAGAGATCAGCTACAGTGCAGTGTAATGTGTATCCTGTTGTCAGAACCATGCTGAAATGTGCTATGCTACACTGGCTAGTTGCTGTTTACTGCAAGACCTGCAATCAAGCGAATGACTCAGTGATTCCAAACTCGGCGAGAGCGCTTCCATTTCCCCCTTTCTTTTCGCAGCTGTGTGGTTACACATGATGTAGAGACCGAGGGATAGCCTAGTAAAATCCATTTTCAGAAGGTCATCTTTCCATGTCTGTGTGAAGATCATGTTTAAACTAAGATGGAAGGTAAATTTTCTTTGATGAACTAGTGCCCTCAACTTTGACACAACAGTGAGTGCACTCTTTCTGAGAACACTTTCTGCAGTTGCCCTCACAGACAGACTGCTGTTTGTTAAAGCAGGCCAAAAATGTTGTGTATGTTGCTATGGCACCTACGTCATTTATTTTCACAGAAAACCAATTGCAGAATATGATAGCCTTCCCCCTTTGTCCCAATTATTTCAGCCTTGTTACTTGGAGGATTTGATTTGCACTTTCATTTTCTAAGCATCTGCAAAGCAGCCCAGACATGTCTGGTCAGGGTTTAAGGGGAATGTGCTTAATCCAGCAAAGGGGTTCTTGTGGTCTTCAGGTCTGTCCTATGTCTAGGGTGGGACTGCAATGGACATGCAGGCAAACACGTCATGATTTTGCCAAGTGCAATGCGATCCTGGATTAACATCTATGTTGATCCTGGAACATCATTATTGTTTAAAATTGAAATCTATACCTATTCCCTACCCCTAAACCCAACCAGAACTGTAAACTATTCCTAAAATCAGAGGGGAATATTATTAAAAATATATTAATACTCTAGTTCCAGACACTTAAGCGTTTTTTTTTTCTGTTTAATTTAGATCGGCTATGAAGCGCGCGTTTGTATCATCAATATTTAGGAGTGCTGGTGAAACGGATATAAAAAACACGCTATGGAGAGTTAACTTGATTAAAAATAACAACATTATTGCTTTAGAGTTTAAATTTTAAAATGCAAAAAACATATTAAGTACTCGTATTAATACAGCTGTTCTGTGTCGGTTAAATCAGTTGACTGTTGAAATTCTAAATTTAACCACAATTAATTATTAACATTATTAATAAATAACCCAATAAAGATGAAAACTAACCCAACAAAGCACCAACTATTTTTAATTCAACGATTGGGTTAAATAAATAACTAAACATTTTTTAGTGTATCGTTGTTGTGTTACCAGAGCAACTATAGAATAACCAAAACAGATTTATTCAAGTACTCTACCATTGTAAGGCTCAACAAAACATTTTCATGTGGGCTTACTTGCCATCAGACATGCCTGACCCCGACAAACATTCTCAGATAATCTCTGGCTTATTTAATCTTCCTTCTTCATAAAACTGCCTTCCGCTGTCCCCTGGGGTTGTCTGGATTATTTCTTGGGAACGATAGGATCTGAGCAGACTCCGAAAATCCTCAGATCATTAAACAGACACGACTTTAGCAAGGAGAATCCTTTTTAAGTCAGCTCTCCCAAATCAAGAGTCCACTACTAAAATACTGAGACAAAGACTTGAGGCCAGAAAATGTTGTGGTATCCTAAGTCCACAAAAGGTCTCTTTGTCTTTTGACATTCTCAGTTTTATTTCCTCATCTCCATAGCTACATTCAGGTGTTCACCACACCCTCTCTGCCTGCGTTTTCCACTTTTATCTTCCTCTGCTGCTTCCAGATTGGGGTGTTTGGCTCCCCCCAGGCAGACTACAGGCAGGAGAGAAAGAGAGAGAGAGAACAATGTTCTTGCATAAGCAGAAACTCTGGCTCAAACCCTCACATTCCAGAAGTGGAGTGAGTCTCTCCCACTTTCAAAATGATATAAATAGGCCAGTAACTGCGATCAATTAAGAGTGCCAGAGACATGAAGCAAGACACTGGTCACCATAAAAGAGAAAAGAGCGACAGAGCTTGTTAGCTTATAATCAGACTTCCTGGATTAAGCCAAACATCATTCCATTTGCGATTCGTGAGCATGATGCAACTTCTCAATGAACACATTTAACTAATTCTCCCTGTGTTTCTCAAAACTTAGCATATGGGTTGAGTTATAGTTGCAAACATATCCAAGTTCTCATTGCTATCAGTTCACAATGCTTCGATTTTCTTCATACTGGGAGCCAGATCTGGAATAGGAAAGCACAAGATGGAATATTTTTACAACTAGCCCTTCACTATCACCTAATAAGGCTATCTGTGCCTCTCCAGAGAGAGAGAGGGAAAGAGAAGGGGGTGAAAAGTGTGAGTGCAAGAAAGCCTGTAGGCAGAGAGAAGGGAGACAAGAGTGTTTGTTTTCCATTGTCCATCAAAAAGACATTATCACTATTCAAACCAAGCTT